CCCCAAAACCCCAAAACCCCAAAACCCCAAAACCCCAGAAACTCGATTCAAATTGAAAAAGGAAGAAAAGTAATAGAGACTCCTATGGGGTATTAAGGAGATGTGCTAATAAGCATTCATTGAAAACATCATCTGGTCATTACTTCTTTCAAATTCCATTTCTTCCTGCTGGGCCATGAAGTTCACCTCATCTAGGAAAATGAATTAATCGAGGAGCTTACCTAGGATTCGTTCAAGTTCTTTATTTTCTTGAAGTCCAATATATTGGTTTGCTGCTATAGATAAGTTTAGGAGTTCTACCAGAATCAAGCTCTCTGTATCGTTGCTTTAATTCAATTTTTGTTTTGCCTTCAAAGTCATCTTTGAGAACATCATCCCATTTATTTGTCAAAAGCGTTAGCTTTTTGAACCAGGAGGGCATCTTCATGAGAAGTGAAGTCCTTGTTTTGTGCTATGTTTTAAGAAATTGCCACATACCCTCATTGGATGACTTTTTGTTTTGTAATTTGCTCAGGTAGTTAACGTATCTAAAGAATAATGATTAGGAGGGACATGCCTTTCTCGTATTTGTTTGCCATTTCTACCCGGCAGATACTTTCGTGCGATCAGTCCCCATTTTGCATGAAATTTATTATACCCCACTAGATTATAAACCTCATGGATTTACTAAGGATCTTGTCATCTTCTTCTTTTGTGAACTGACCTATTTTCCTCGTTTTCTAAAATGATGAACTATGAATACTTTCAGAAAATCTGCTCTTCGTTTACAGTCTTCAGGGGATTTAGGTCCTAGAGGGCCAGAATCTTTGACATTTTCAGCTGAAATTTTACCAGAAAATTACCTTTAGTCCTACCATTCTGGTTATGCTCATTAATTTTGAGAGCGATGGCTCAGAAGTTTAATTTCTGAAGGTTTTCCAACAAAATCTGGTCCTCGGTAGGATTCCAGATTTTGGAATTTATTTTAGCACCCTTCACTAGAAGAGTTAAAGTGGGTATAATTACCTTCAGCCATATTGTAAAGGTTTGCCTTTGCGGTTATAAGGAGCTCATCAAATTTTATATTGCTTACAGCCCTTTTCTTCACCTTAAAAGTCTTAATGAGGCTGATGTAGAGCCTCACTTTGTTGAAGTTGAAGGTTGGCTTTGCCTTAAACTGCTTATCTTCGTAGACAATCTCGCATTGATTTTCAGCAACTATTGGGAAATCATGCGTTATCAACATCCCTGTGGTAGCTGTTCTTCCAATGATATCCTTGAAGGATTGACTGTAAAGTAGCCTATTTATGAATAAATACAGATACATTGGTTCATCAGGGGAGTGTTGTCTTCTGATGAGAATCTTGAGATCTCTCTCAATGGATGATTCAAAGGAGGTTGAACCTTGAGCTTCTGAGAATTCCTCTCCTTCCTCCATTTCCATCCATTCCTGAACAATTTTGTTTACTTTTGGGTGGAAATTCCCTCCTTTAGCAATCTTGATGTTGTCATTTTCAATAAACGAGGGACTCCCAAGGTCAAGTTCCTTCTTTATCGTTTCATTTCTACCCTGCCTGAAACTACTATGGCACTCACTAGCTTTTGGGGCTAAATACATGATAATGGATAACTTACTTGAACCCTTGTCCTTATTTCCTTAAAGCTTTGCTGATAGTTACCTTAGTTGCAGAATTCCCCTAGTTGGAATAAAGCAAATTCTATGGATGTAAAACTTACGAAAGAATCATATTTGAGTCTAAGATTTCTCGACAGATAATTTTTCTCAATTATTGTACCCTGAGAACCCTGGAGTTCAGGTAATTCAAGCTGCACCTGATATTCTCGATCAATCTCATCCACACTTTGATGTTTAAATTAGCCCAATATGGTTTTTCTCCAATAGTGCTAAGGAGGAATGATTACCTATGGTTCTTTCGCTAAGACTTACAAAAAGTCCTGGGTTCATCATTTTGTGAGCCAGATTCTGCTCGATCTTGGCGTTTCAGGGGTATCACTGAAAGTAATCTTGAAAGTAGTACTAACATTTAGCATTCAAAACATACCCTTGGTTAAGTTTTCTCGGCTCGTATTTTTTTACCCTTACTTTCTGGCTAGGGTCAGTACATCTACATGTCATCCATCTTCAGAGTAACTGTGTGAAGACTTTGCACTAAATTATAACCAAATTGTGCTACTCTTCTGCTTCATTTTCCTTTTCTTTTGGTTTTTAAGTAACCTATATGTAAAATTGGGGCTAATCTTACGAATTGTGCTCTGTTCAGGATCATTCCTATACAAAGGTTGGCAAATAAGGCTGATAAATGAGCTTTTATATCATATTTTACTATACCTATTCTTGAATGGGACAGGATAGCGAAACTTAGCCAGTCTTGTCGGCCTCAATATTTAGAAGCCCCAACATTGATGCAAGTGGAAAAGACTTACTCTTGGTTTTCATATCTTTCTGGGAGATTAGAGAACCTCTGGTCGTCCTCTTTATTTGTTAGATATACGGTTTGAAATTTTTGCGGCTCTATGGTAGGTTACCATTTTCCAAACCAAACTTGGTAGAAAGTTAACACAAGTAAGAGAATATAATGTAGCAAGAACAGCTGATAATTTTGTGAATTTTCTTGTTGAAAAAATGTATATCTTCATGAAATCTTACTAAAAGAGTCTCCTGAGTTTGTTGAAATTCAGGATGTTTCATTAAATAAGATTTCTTTAGAATTTAACAGGATCAAAAGCCAGCTGAATATACCTTTGTTGCTGAATGCTGATCTTCTTGCCAGTGTTTTGTTGGGAGCTATAAAAGCTATCATTTTGTTCAATCTGGCTTTGCGTCCCAACAGCTAAGAAGCCGTCCCTAGCAGGGTTCTCGTATGATCGGTTTTTAATTTCCTCCATTATATTTATTATACCTCTATTAGTTTAATCTTTTTGGGGTTTTGGGGTTTTGGGGTTTTGGGGTTTTGGGGTTTTGGGGTTTTGGGG